CGCACGCACCCCCATCGCCCCCCCCCATCCCCTCCTCTCCCCCCTCCCCCACCGCCCTCTCGCTGCAGCACCTCGCCAGATTCAGCAGCGCCGCCACCGCGTTCTCCCTGCTCCTCAGGCTCGTCCCGGTCGACGGATCCAGCAGGTCCGCTAGGACCCTAACCCCGGAAACCCTCCGGAACTCCTCCTCGCTCTCCTCGCATCCCGCCACCTGCGCGATCACGGCCGTCGAGTCCTCCACGATCCCCACGCGCCCGTCCTTCACCACCAGCGTGAAAAGCGCGGGAACCGCCCCGAGCTCCACCAACGCGCCTCGGTTGAGCGCGTAGAGGGAGATCCCGAAGAGCGCCTTCAGCGCGTCCTTCACCGACCGCGGAGGCGAGTTGAGGCTCTTGACGATGTCGATGAGAGAGTAGGCGATGTCGCGCTTGGCGCCGATGATGGGGCGGTAGTCGTCGACGACGAGGAGGCTGTGGAGGGTGGCGGCGGAGGACTGGACGGCGAAGGCGGAGGAGGAGGGGGAGGAATGGTGGCGGAGGACGTGGGAGAGCGCGTCAAGGAGGCCGCGCGTGGAGATGAGAGCGTGGCGGCAGGAGATGGAGAGGTTTAGGAGGGTCGCAGCGGCGTCGTCTTGGAGGGAAGGGGAAGAGTCGAAGAGGGTTTCGGAGAGGTAGGGGATGGCTCCGGCTTCAGCTACGAGGGGGCGGCTGTCGGGGTCGAGCTTGGTGATGAGCCGAAGCTCTTTCAAGGCGTCGGCACGGGTTTGGGACGAGACTGAGCTGAGCTTGGAGACCAAGGAGCGAGACGTTCGCAGCTTCACTTCCATTTGTTGTGCGTCTGGATTTGTTGGAAATTTTGGGAATTTGGGAATTTTGGGTTCGAATAGGGAAGGGATAAGAAGAAGATTTGAGTTGATTGATGTTAATAGCTATCAAGTTGAAGAAAATGGATGGGGAAGGTGGCGGTGGGTTTGTTGAGTTTGAAAACCAAGTGGCAGCTGAAAAACTAGAATATCGCATGTCCAACTCGTATTTATACACTTTCGAGACCAAAAATTAAAAACTTGTATTTATACACTTCTCTCCCACAAATACAATAAAATATTTCCAACAATTTTTATTTTTTAACAAATAAGGAAATTACAAAGATATGTCCGTACAATCAGAATGATATAAAATTAAGAAATGCTAGCTTCCCCTCTTGCCTTCTCCTTTTTTTCCTTTTTCTCATTTATTTCGTGTCACGTGTATTTTAATCGCACATAAATTTATGTATTTAATGTGTTTACAAATTCTTTATTGTATTTACAAACAAAATATTAGTACTTTACATTGAATATATAGATTTTTTTTAGAGGGAGAGATTTCATTAATATCACGAAATCAATATAAAGTAACTGACATGTCAATAGTTGCATCTTTAAAACCTTCCTCGCGAAAACCACATGGATAAAATTCCGAGATAAGAAAAAGTACCACACATATTGCAGACTAATAGAAGAGTTAAATCAAATACACAAATCAGGACAATCATCTCTAAGTCAATCTAGATGCCAAGGGGGGCCATCATCCAACGAAAACGAAAGCCCTTATTGCCGAAGACTAAATCAAGCAATGCGATCCACAACTCCATTAGTTTTACAGGGAACATAAAGAACAGTACATGAGGAGTGAGAAACAAGAGACGTCAAACCTTTTCCACGAGGATCCCTTCCAAGCAAACCAAAATATAGATTTATGCATAAGTGGAATACACATGACAAAAAATGAATGAGGAGGGCAAGAGGGAAGATAGCTATCACTCCTCAAGGAAATTACAAAACTACATACAAAGGTTGTTGACAGTTATGTCCTCGATTAGTTAAAGTATCAGTTATTCTATTTGTTTTTATGAAATATGACATTATTGTTTTTGTTTCTTTGAAAATATAATGTATAGAAATTTGAGAGAATTAATGTAATAAATGTCAGATATCATACGTGTCATTACGTTATTAGTTAGAAATAACAAAAAAAGTTATTCTCATTACATGAAAGTCTCTCTCTCATATTAGATGTCCCTACCAACAAACAATCTAACCACTAAAGAAATGTTGAACTCTGTGATAGAAGGAATATTAAGTGTTTACATAGTGGGGAAATGTATTTTATCATACAAATTGTCAAAAGATGATGACCTAATATATAAATTTAATGATAGTGCGGAATCGGGAATGGGAATGGCTGGTTTCAATCGGCATTCACCAATGGATCCATGATTTCCGTAAAAGATCCGGGGACAGCCGGCCAATTGAGTAGATTGCTGTTGGTTTGGTTTGGTAGATATCAACCATAAGATTGGAATCGAACGGCTATAAATGAATCCTGAAAACATGTGTAGGTTTAGGAGAAATAATTTATTTTATTTAATGGTGATGATGACAAGGCACCCACCTGTATAAATGCGAACGTAGAAATGTAGGTTGGCGCGTGAAGGAATAAAATATTGTGTTGTGTTGTGTTGTCTCTCAAGGATAAGATGAGGAGTTTATGTTTCATGTTTGGAGGGGATTGGGTCAAACGAAGGGGGTGGTGTGCGTGATATGAGTATTACGTCAGTGTTTGCTCTTTATAGATAGATACTCTCTGAAATATTCCTGATCAGGTATGCAGTCGGGAGCCACTCGGGACCACCGCGTAACCCGTATGTTACGCCGGACTACTCTATTTACAAGTGCTCCCACGCCAGACTACTTTTGCACACTGCTCTTACTATTTTGATGTCATATGATAGTAACAATCATGATTAATATAAAAACTTTTCCGCGTGATAGTCTGGTAAAATTAAGAGTTACAGTCATTTCTCCTCTCGTCTGACTTTTGAGTAGTTCAAGGCCAAAAATTAAACTGAGGTTCTTAATTTGCCTTTGCATGTAATCATAATTTAACAAGAAAAAAAAAATCTACACATATTTTCTTTGAAATGTCATATAGTTGACAACCAAACAACCATCAAACTAGAAGAATTAAACATTTTCTTGATGGAAGTGCTTGATTAATTGCATATTTGTTGTTCCGAAGTAAATTAATAATTTAAAAATATGGACCTTTGTATTGTTAAAGATTTAAAATGATTTTGGTTTGGATCTTTAGAGTATCCACAATGGTTGTTCAATAGTTTAATTGACGAGAGAAATAGCTCATTTCCTATAAATTTTCCGTATTATGTATGTATTTGGATGGAGGTTGTTATTTCAACCACCTATGTTTGGAAGTGTCTGATATCACGAAACGCGGGACAGCGACTTATGTAAGAAATGGGCCGACGGGCCCCCTACTCTCTTGGGTAATGAAATGGGCTGACGTTGTTAGAAGTTGAGTTGAGGTTTCAGGCTTCCAGGAGTGAAGTAGCAAAACAAGACAAAACAATGCATCAGGGCCGGAGCTAGAGAGAAACATGCTTTCTTCGAAGCGTAGAAGTTTAAATGTGACCCAGGCACTTATCTATGTACTTTGTGGCATAAAATTTCAGAAAAAAAATATTATTATGTCTTCTTTTTTGTAACAACATGTCATCCATCTCCTTCAAATCATTCTTTACAAATTTAATATAACGGTCGAACGACGTTAAATCTCTTGTGTTATATCATCTTCCTACGCACTCTGTTAGTTTATAGCATTGACCTACGCTAGCCTAGATCCCTAGGTGGAAACCCTATTGGAAACTCCAATGGGCTAAAGCTTGGCGTAATCTCTGATGTATCAACTTACCTAGCTAAGGAGATTACTCATTGTTAGAGCATCCACAATGGGCTCCCTAGACCACATCCTTAGACAAATTTTAGAGAGGAATCGTATAAATACAACTCCAACCACGTTCTCTATCCACCTCCTAAAATAGAGAGTCCTCTAGGAGCTCCTAAATCTGAGGAGAGAGAAAAGACTCCTAGTGGCTCTCTATAATTTAATGTTGCTTTATTTAATAAGTATTTCAAACCTTTATTTAATGCTAACTATTTTTTATTTTATTTTTTTAGTAAAGATGGACCAATCAAAAAAGAGTTATAGCATTTATGACTTTCCAAATTAGGAAGTGTGGTTGGAGTTGAAATTTTTTAGAGAGCTCCTAAAATAGCTTTCTTATATTTTTAGCCAAATTTTAGCTAAGAAACAGAGAACATCATTTTGGATGCTCTTAAGCCTGTAAAATGAGTCAGCTCAGACTAACTTGTCTTTGAGAGTGGTTAGTCAACGCCCTACTTAATTACAGGTTTTTTTTAGCATGAGGAATGGGTCAGCTCGAACCAACTTGTCTCTGAGAGTGATTAGTCAACGCCCTACTTAATTATGGGCTTTTTCCAACCTAAAGAATGCATCAGCTCGAACCAACTTGTCTCTAAGAGTGGTTAGTCAACGCCTTACTTAATTACTTGTTTTTTTCCGGACCAGACCTGCCCTATCTATGCATATAGCAATTGAAACATGTAAAATGTAGAGTGATGCAAAAACAATTAAGTCCTTTGTAGTCAGCTTAAGTGAGAGCATATGTAGTGAAATGAGTCATGAATCGGATTAGATATGTTAATGATTGGACTCCTTTTCCATGTAAGATTTTTATTTAAAAAAAGTGAGCAAAATAGTTTTCTTATAAGCAAATCTGAACTATTTAATCAAAGCTCAAACAACAGAAAAATTATTACTTAAAACCCTTTGATACAGGGTTCTTGCAAGCCTTTTGCAAAATAACCCGTGACATTGTACGACCACCTATCTAACAAATCTCAATCACACATGAGAAAGGGCACAAAGCTATAGATCCCTTTCTCGTGATATATGTCGGTACAAAGCTACAAATCACTTGAAATCTGGACTTTTGCTACAGATCACCTTTAGAAAAGACCTTCACAGTCAGTCAGCAATTAATTTAAAACTCTGACATACAGGCCAAAATACCCCAACAAAGCCACAACCCCAATCCAAAGTAAAAACAACAAAATAGTACAAGTACTAAGCTAACCCTAGTTTACCAAACGTAGTCATGGGACTTGGGAACCAAACAAAGGATTTAAGTGCAGCGCTCACGGGCCACCCCAAGCCTTGAATTGGGCACATCAATGAGCACCCTGTGGTTCTGCTGCTGCATATTAGCAATCACATTGAGCACAGAGTTCACGTTGTCTGGTGCCGCTGCCATGGCTAGACATGTGATGCTCCCAGCTGTGCTGTGGATTACAATGTTGTCTTCAGGCAGTGTCACGTTCATGCCTGAGAACATGAACGTTATGGTGGGTACGACAAAGGGCACTGAGTAGCAGGTGTCGAACCCGCCTAGGGTTTGAAACGGGTATATACCGACCCGCCTGCGGAACTCGTTCCGTACTGCCACATAGGCCGGTTCCACTAGCCGGGTGAATACGGTTCCTGATTAGAGAGAAAAAAGAAACTTTAGTTTAAAAAATTTGTATTACAAAAGTGAGATAAATGCTTTACCACTCGACTATAAAGAAAAGATCATGTTCACATACGGATCTCAAAATTTGGGTCTGTACTATTATAACTAATCAGTGGCAAATGCATGATTAAGTCACAAGCTTTTTGACTTAAAAGTGTTTCTAATCAAGTATGGCCACTTTAAAAAGTTAAACATATTTATCTTATGAAATTAAAATACACTAACTAGGCCAATCAAATTTTCACAAAAATGAAACCAACCGAGACACGGCATAACAATAGGACAATTATAATTTGAGCAAGGGAAGTTTTGTCTCTAGGGTTAAAACCAATTAAAAGTCCAAGAGGGGTCCTTTAGACATGTGGGCTAGTCACATGTTCACAGAAAATGTACATTTAAATATCAACTCTGTGACTAGACCACATTCTCAGCTATGGTCCCAAATAGCATTCATGACCAAAATTCTTATAAGAACAAAATTTTAAGGTGTTACCTGAATCAATGATCGTCCCTGCACCGGTGGTAGGATTAAAAGCCAAGGCAGCAGGAGGGATATCCACAATCCTCCTACCAACCCTAATTGCATTTAAGTTCACATAGTAGAGTGATGATCTTCTAGGGTTCTTGAGCAGTGGGGTGAACTTGATCCTCTTGGGTTGCCCAACAGGTCCAAGCCTCAATGACCCAGAAAAGTTTAGGGACTTGAAGCTAGGTAGGCAGTATGAGAATGTAGATTGGTAGAGGTTTTGAGTCTGA